AGAGTAGAAAAGTCCATACACATTCCGAAGAAAGTGAATAAGCCAATGTGTAAATTTCCAAAATCACCGGATTCCGGAACCGGAAGTGGTCACTCGTCCGAAACTGCTAGCCAGGCGTCATCAACGTCGTCAGTGCATCAGAAATTGCTTGGCTTCGCTCAGTCCGTAACAAAAATACCATTGTCAATCCTCAAAAAAAGGCCAGCCGATTCTCGGTCACAGGTCGACGCGACGACAGCATCATCCAAAAAATTAGAATTGCTTGTAGCAAGACCGGATTCAGAAGGACTGTATTCCTTTGTAGAAAAAATTCCGCTCCAGAAAAGCGGTGCAGTAGAACTGGGAGTAGAAGAAATGGATTTTATTGACGCTGAGGGAGATGATCCTTCATGTTGCAGGGAGAGAGAGTTAAAAATGAAACGCGGTTTTCGACAAATTTTCAGCCAAGAAAAGACCGGCAACAGGTAGGTTTCTTCATTTTTATTATGTATCTTGTGTCTTATTTTCGTAGATTAAGTGTTGGGATAGCTCGTAGACGAGAAGGGCAATGAGAACTCCGGCAGGCTCTGATAAAGTGTCGTCTCTCAGTGTTGTGGCACATGATTCATATAAATGGATGAAGATACACTTCGGACTGAAACTCGGCCAGAGTTTTTGAAAACGGATTAAAAAGAATCAAAACTGGAAATTTTAGAGTTTCTTTTTTTTCTGATTAAAGAGAAGTAAAAGTTGAAAACACTATTGTTTCCCTAGTTCTCTCCTTGTCATCACTGAGAGTCTTTGCATATTTTGTAGATCTGGTGACGAAGAAGCAGAGAAGGAGCAAAGGCAGGGATTCTTTCAGGTACCGCCATTTTTGAAGGCAGTTTTTGCTACAATAGCAGCATTTCCATATATTTTCGGTTCTTGTTCTTCTTTCGAGCAAACTTGCAGAGCCGTCAAATTTTATAAACTTCATTTCAGAAGTTCTTCCGTCCGAGCAGTTCACGATCATCGGGTGGCGAAGGAACCAGCGCGGAGCTGGAAAGGAGACCGCTACTGCATGACGATGACGGTTATGCTATTATTGATAGGCGGCAATGTATGCAAAATCTCTTTTTATCGCATTTTCTAAAATAGATTCTACTGAGAAACTACAGACGAAGGACTGGATTAATTATGCGTTTATGAGTGATATGAAATCACATAAAAGACGCGAAATTTAGCAAAACATCGAACAATCGGTAACAGTGCTGAACAGCAGTGATGGAGCTACTTATTGAGATCACAGATAATGGATCTAAATACTGCACGTAACGATGGACATACTGGGGAGCAGTTTGTGTATCATCCCTTAGCTTTAAACACAGACAGAGAACCTCACTACTGAATTTACAGTAACAATCGCAGGATTTCATTAGACTCGAAAAGTGTTTATCAGGG